AATTGCTAGTTTACGTGAAAAGGAAGTTTACATGCATCAATTTTAGCATACATGAATATTTACATCACCATTATAATTCATATTTTTTTGCTGTGCAGAAATCCTTTGGAACTGTCCTCAGAATTCAATATCCTTGAGGTTCTTCTTGGATTTTTTAGAACTCTCCTAAGAACTCTTTTGAAACTCTTCTCAGAAGTTCACTGGAATTATATTTAGAACTCTTTATGATTATTTCTCAGAACACATTGGAACTGACCTCAGAACCCTTTGGAATATCATTCAAAATTTGATTTTCTCGGTATTCTACAAGATGCACTAGAAATTATCCACAGAATTTACTTTGAATTCTCCCCAGAAATATTTTGGAACTGTCATAAGAATTGAATATCCTTGAGGTTTTTCTCGGAATATCTGCAGGATTCACTAGAAATTATTCGCCGAATTTTCATGGAATCATCCCCAGAAATCTTTTCTTATAGAACTGTCCTCAGAATTCAATACCCTTGAGGTTCTCGGAAGGCAAGTTTAAGTTGCCCGCCTATTCACCAAAACGTTGTTGTTTTTCAACCAGAAATGTTCAATAAAGCTTGCCCCTCCATTCACCAGAACTGTGCAATTTTTACCTCAGAAATTTTAAATTCAGCTTGCCTCTCCATGCAGCAGATTGTTGCAAATCTTACACCAGAATTTTCAATACCAACTTGCCTCCATAAAATTGTACACCAGAAAATTTAAATTGATCAGAACGATGCAAATTTTCCACCGTTAATGTTCAATAAAAATTTCTTCTCCAATCTTCTGATTGGTGCAGAATGTTGGAGGTTTTCCACCAAATAAAGCTTACCCCTGTTTTCAGATTTTTCATCATAAATTTTCAATAACCCAGCTTCCCTCCAATCATAAGAAAGGTGCAAATTTTAAACCAGAAATTAATATTAAAATTTGTTTCTCTATTCAGCAGAAGACCAAAATTTTTCCGAAAAACTTTCCCATCCGTTCATATTTGGTATATATGGTGCATATTTTCCACCAGAAATTTTCAATGCAGCTTAATTTTAAATAAAGCTTGTGCCACCAGAAATTTTCCGTTCATTTCATTTATCAGAGCGATGCAAATTTTGAACCATAAATTTTCAATAAAGCATGCTCCTCCATTCACCAGAACGGTGCACCAAACATTTTCAGGAAAGTTTGTTTCATCATGCACCTTTGTGGTGCAATTTTCAGGCTTTGCCTCTTCATGCACCAGAATGCTGCAAATCCACCATGAATTTTCAATGAAGCTTGCATTCATCAGAACTATGCAAATTATGCACCAGAAAAATTAATAAACCTTGCATCTACATTCACCACAGTGTAGCGAACTTTCCACCAAAAATGTTCAGTTAAATGCGCGCCTCCAAATTTTTAGCGTGATTCATTTTTTTTCCAATTTTCATTTTCATTAGTCCCTCCATGCACCACCTTGATGTTATTTTTACACCAGAAATATTCAATAAAAAGCTTTTTCTTCTATTTTCCACCACGAAGATGAATTTTTTCACCCTTAAATTTACCCTCTTCTTTTAACCCTCCATGAACCACTTTGAAAAAAAAATTACACCCTTGTGGTGCAATTTTTTTTTATCAAAAAGTTTGTACCTTCATGCACCTTCTTGGAGCAATTTTCAGGCACCATCTTAAAGGAATTTGAGCAATAAAAGGTTTCCAGTGCCCTTATTTAATGAAATGAAGTTATTTTGCCTTCAAATCAAGTTATCAAGAAATCAAAATATTTTAAATCATAATTTTGTAAATGTTAAAATATAAATCTTATTTATAAAATAGGTGGCCAATTACCCCACCATTCCCCACCCCGGGCACGCCCGCCAGCCTGAAAAATGTGGGGTGGGTCATTTTTTTAAGGAAAAAATTTCTGACACTTATAAACCCTCCAAATCTCGATTAGAGCCTTATTTCCGCGATAAATCGATTTAAAGATTTTCATACCCCCCAGCCTGAAAAAAATGTGGGTTGGGACAATTTTTTTAAGAAAAAAATTCTGACACCTAACAACCCTCCAAATCTCGATTAGAGCCGTATTTATGGAGATAAATCGATTTAAAGATTTTCATAAGCGCCAGCCTGAAAAAATGTGGGTTGGGACATTTTTTTTAGGAAAAAATTTCTGACACCTACAAACTCTCCAAATCTCGATTAGAGCCGTATTTCCGGAGATAAATCGATTTAAAGATTTTCATACCCCCCAGCCTGAAAAAAATGTGGGTTGGGACAATTTTTTTAAGAAAAAAATTCTGACACCTAACAACCCTCCAGATCTCGATTAGAGCCGTATTTATGGAGATAAATCGATTTAAAGATTTTCATAAGCACCAGCCTGAAAAAATGTGGGTTGGGACATTTTTTTTAGGAAAAAATTTCTGACACCTAAAAACTCTCCAAATCTCGATTAGAGCCGTATTTCCGGAGATAAATTGATTTAAAGATTTCATACCCCCCAGCCTGAAAAAAATGTGGGCTGGGACATTTTTTTTGAGGAAAAAATTCTGACACTTGAAACCTCTCCAAATCTCGATTAGAGCCGTATTTCCGGAGATAAATTGATTTAAAGATTTTCATACTTCCCAGCCTGAAAAAATGTGGGTTGGGACATTTTTTCGAGGAAAAAAATTCTGACACTTAAAAACCTCCAAATCTCGATTAGAGCCGTATTTCCGGAGATAAATAGATTTAAAGATTGCATACCCCCCCAGCCTGAAAAAAATGTGGGCTGGGACATTTTTTTTTGAGGAAAAAATTCTGACACTTGAAACCTCTCCAAATCTCGATTAGAGCTGTATTTCCGGAGATAAATTGATTTAAAGATTTTCATACTTCCCAGCCTGAAAAAATGTGGGTTGGGACATTTTTTATGAAAAAAATGTTGACACCCAAAAACCCTTCAAATCTCGATTAGAGCCGTATTTTTGGAGATATATCAAGTTAAAGATTTCCATACCCCCCGCCTGAAAAAATATGGGTTGGGAAAAAAATTATGACACCTAAAACCCTCCAAATCTCGATTAGAGCCGTATTTCCGGAGATAAATTGATTTAAAGATTTTCATACTTCCCAGCCTGAAAAAATGTGGGTTGGGACATTTTTTATGAAAAAAATGTTGACACCCAAAAACCCTTCAAATCTCGATTAGAGCCGTATTTTTGGAGATATATCAATTTAAAGATTTCCATACCCCCCCGCCTGAAAAAATATGGGTTGGGAAAAAAATTATGACACCTGAAAACCCTTCAAATCTCGATTAGAGCCGTACTTCCGGAGATAAATTGATTTAAAGATTTTCATACCCCCCGGCCTGAAAAAAATGTGGGTTGGGACATTTTTTTTTTTGAGGAAAAAATTTCCGACACCTGAAAACCCTCCAAATCTCGATAAGAGAGGTATTTCCGGAGATAAATTGATTTAAAGATTTTCATACCCCCCAGCCTGAATAAATGTGGGTTGGGACATTTTTTTTTGAGGAAAATATTTCTGACACCTAGACACCCTCCAAATCTCGATTAGAGCCGTATTTCCGGAGATAAATTGATTTAAAGATTTCCATAACCGCCAGCCTAAAAAAATGTAGGTTGGGACATATATTTTTGAGGAAAATATTTCTGACACCTAAAAACCTTCCAAATCTCGATAAGAGCCGTATTTCCGGAGATAAATCGATCTAAAGATTTTTATACTCCCAGCCTGAAAAATTGTTGGTTGGGATATTTTTTTGTGGAAAAAAATTCTGACACCTAAAAACCCTCCAAATCTCGATTAGAGCCGTATTTCCGGAGATAAATCGATCTAAAGATTTTTATACTACCAGCCTGAAAAATTGTTGATTGGGATATTTTTTTTGTGGAAAAAAATTCTGGCACCTAAAAACCCTCCAAATCTCGATTAGAGCCGTATTTCCGAAGATAAATCGATTTAAAGATTTTCATAAGCGCCAGCCTGAAAAAATGTGGGTTGGGACATTTTTTTATGAAAAAAATGTTGACACCCAAAAACCCTTCAAATCTCGATTAGAGCCGTATTTTTGGAGATAAATCGATTTAAAAAATTTCATACTCCCAGCCTGAAAAAAAAGTGGGTTGGGACATTTTTTTTGAGGAAAAAAATTCTGACACCTCTAAACCCTCCAAATCTCGATTAGAGCCGTATTTCTGGAGATAAATCGATTTAAATATTTTCATACCCCCCAGCCTGAAAAAAATGTGGGTTGGGACATACAATAAGATCGATTGTTGGCAAAAGATTTAGTTGTGATTTTATATTATTATATGGTAATTGTATGGTTATTTTTTTCCGGGCAGTGCTTTCATTTTGCTCAATCCTGTTGTCACTTCTACTAGGTATGAGTTTTTTTATATTCTTTATTTTTTTTTTTCTTATTGGCAATTAAGTTGTTTAAGTTTCACAGTCACTTAAATTGTTGTTTTTGATGGCATTTCACTGTTCCATGCATTTTTTTTTTCTTCTAGCACTTATAACTGATTCATTTCAGTCCATTTTCACCGGCTCTTTGCAGGTACACTTCATACATTAGTGGTGTGCATCCGGAGTGCCATGTTGGCCACTCTTTCCGACTGTTGCCGATTGTATGTATTGAAAATTACGTTATGGCAACAAATGCTATTACGGATAGTGCCACTGTTTGGAGAGTGTCACAATTTCGTCGGAAGTAAACCAGCCCATTTTTAACGCGTCACTTTTCACCATTTCACTAATCGACTTCCGCACGCGGAATCGCGAATCGCGTGAACTGCTTTCTTTAAGTTCAGATCGGTAATCGAACTATTGAGGGCTTCGAAAAAAGTAACCTCCTGTTCGGACCGAAAGATTATCATACTTAGCTCTCAGTCAAAGATTGTTTGGTGTGGATTGATATGGATCGACAGTGGTTCTCAAATTAATTATTACTACATTATTGAGTTGATGAAATATGTATCTTTTTTTTTCAGGTGGTTCAAAATGGAGCAACAACTGTATGAAAGCGAAATTAAGTCGGGTGGCCACGGTGAAAAATTCCAAACAGACATTGCCCTCGCACTGTCGCTGCGTATGCGGGAATTAAGTTCCACTACAAGGATGGCGTATGAAATGAAGATGGCCGACAAGTTTGACGATGTTGTGTTGATTGACGATACAAACGAGGAGATCCACTTAATTCAAGCAAAACACGCTGATACCAAGGATGAACAGGTTAAAATTGTCGATCTGGATGCCCTGTTTCCGACCGGAAATAGTGCCAAACGCAACGGAGACTTTGATTTATGCAAGTATGCCAAATCCTACTTGAGTGTGACTGGAAGATTGGAGCCAAGGGAGTACAAGAAGATGTTTTACATCTTCACCAATAAGGATCTGAAACAGACCGATAACGAGTGGGTGAAGATCGAAGAACGAGAAGTAAATGAAATCCTACGTTTTTCTGGATCCAGTGCCAGAAACCTAGAACTTATTCCAACCGAGAAGGCTATCGACGAGATGTGCGATTACATCAACAAAGATTTCATTGCGATTAAAGATGCGATCAAAGAGTTCTTTCATAGCGGAACGATCAGCCAAATGTTCATTCACTATTGCACTCCATTGAAAGACGTTATGATCATAGACCGGAAAAAGTGTCGCTTTGCCGGCGACTTCAATGCTGAAAATACAAAGCCCAATGTTGCCATGCTATACACTATGTTGCAAAGCGATCAGGTTGATATGGAGAAAGAAGTACCCGCCAACAATAATTTCCTGGCGAAAGACTCAAGGAACAAACTTTTGCCACCATTCGTTGGTGAGGATGACATTCGTGACTTCTTTCGCGATTTGACTCTATCGGTGGGTCAACCGAACGATTTGCGGCCTATCATCGTTGGTGAACTACTGGCTTGGATGAAGACGTGGATCCAGCCGGACATTCTCGGTCAGCTGGGGGAAAAAGACTTGGAGCAGGTGTATATCGACCTGGAAGCTTATTTTGCCAACTGTAACAAACCTGTTAACGAAAATAGGAAGCGCTTTTTGACCAAGCAAGATATAGAACAATGCTTTGGACAAATAAAGCGTGAAATGCAGACGGGTGTGATAAAGCGCGTAATGCCAGAGGCAGAAGAGTGGCAAATTACGTTTATTAACCGCCATATAAAGTACGAAGAGGTGGCATTAGAGCCAACCGGTAAATTATTAGGAAAGGCAACAGATAAGGATAGGACTAGCACAATAGCTCGACAGATAAGTGATATTAGATTTGTTGAAGAGCTTCGAGGAAGATTAAAAAACCAGCAACATATTTTACTTGTAGCAGACCCCGGTATGGGAAAAACCAGATTACTGCAGTTTTTGGCGTTTGAAGTTCAAAAACAAAACCAATCTGCAGTATTCTTGATGTATTTAAGAACACTTTGTAATGAACTCAACAAAATAGAACAAGTATCAAGCTTAAACGATGTCCGGGGAATTCTCAGCGCTGTTCTTTCAGAGAATAACTGTAATCTCATCCTAAATGCCCCGGAAAGGCGAAATGACGAAGGATATTCCATTATTTTAGCATTGGATGCATTTGACGAAATACATTCCAAATACACCGAGAAAGTAATTAGTATACTCGAACTGCTCAGTTTGAAAAAGAGTATTCAGTTCATAATCAGCTCGAGACTCCACGTGCAGGAATTATTGCAAAGTAAGTTCGATGTGAAGCTAATATATCTAGTCCCTTTTCAGCGTGAGGACCAGATCCGGTACTTGAAGAAAATATGGGTGAAAAAGAGTGTTGATGAGAAAGTTGTTGAAAACTTTTCGGAACTTCTTTTAAAAAAATATCATTCCAGCATTTTATCCAACTTCAGTGAAATTTCCGGGTTGCCTCTGATGATGCGAATGCTCGCTGAAATTTACTCTAACAAATTCGAACAATTTAGTTCAGCAGGGAATTTCGACAATATGAGATCGTTTGATTGGTCAGAAGATATATTGAATATTGTACAACTTTTAGAGCATTTTGTCAGTAAATGTTTTCACAACAAAATTGTAGCGAAATTTAAGTGCACGGTTGATATCAACGATGCTGAGTTCAATTCAATAATTGACGTGTATATTTTGGAACATCAACTGCTAGCGATAAGGCTGCTAGACATTGAAATGCTCATGGATTTATTCACGAAGCCGGATTATAAGAAAAAATATGACACATTCAAAAGTCGATGTGAGCAGGATGCAGAAAAATCTATTTTGGTGAAGGTAGTCAACAATGATGTTCAGTTCTGCCATTTATTATTTGGTGAATACTTCGTAGCAACATATCTAAGTGACCACATTTCCGAGTTGAAACCAAACTTATTGATCAACGTTCTATCTCAACGCGATTTTATTAGGAAACTGACACTGATCAAGCTTGGAGAAGAGGAAAACTGCTCCGAGACTTTAAACGATTTGTGCCGGCTAAACTGGAACGTAGCTTTGTGGGCCTGCGAGAGTGGTTGTCTGAAATTGGTTTCATCCCTAAAAGTTGAATCGTTCTCCAGTCATCAACTAAACAATATGTTAAATGTCTCTGCGAAATGCGGATATTTCGAAATATGTAATTTTCTAATTGGTTACAATGCAAATCTCGATAAATGCACTGCGCTGCATTCTGCCGTTGAGAATGGTCATGTTAGTGTGGTTCAATTGCTGCTCAAGTGCAAAGTGGACCCTAACAATCGCAGATACTACGGCGAAACGCCACTTCACATCGCTGCACTGAATGGCCATGCGAGTGTTGTGAAACTCTTGGTAGAAAATAATGCAGACCTAAACGAGTTGGACGAAGATGGAAGGACTGCACTTCATTATGCAAGCCGCAAAGGAAATGTGGAAACGGTTCAACTCTTGATTGATCGTGGTATGAACACTTCCTCTCGGTCAATCCACGATGTAACTCCACTTCACATTGCTGCGGAGAATGGCCATCCGAGCGTTGTTAAATTGTTGATAGAGAACAATTCGGACCCATACGCGATGGACAGTAAAAATTGGGGTTCCCTCCATTATGCAAGCCGAAACGAAAATGTGGAAACGGTAAAATTCTTGATTAATCAGGGTTTCAACACCAACTGTCAGACATTCATTGGTCAAACTGCACTTCACATCGCTGCACTGGATGGCCATGTAAGTGTTGTGAAACAGTTGATAGCGAATAATGCGGACCCAAATCGGATGGACAACTACCAATGGACTGCACTTCATTTTGCATGCTATAACGGAAATGCGGAAATGGTCAAATTCTTGATTGATCAAGGTATGGACACTTGCTCTCGGACAAACTTCGGTGTAACTCCACTTCACATTGCAGCACGGAAGGGCCATACGAGCGCTGTGAAACTCTTGGTTAGGAACAATTCGGACCCATATGAGATGGACGATTATGACTGGACTGCCCTCCATCATGCAAGCCATAAAGGAAATGTGGAAACGGTGCAATTCTTTGCTGATCAAGGTGTTAATCAGGAAACCAGTGGTATAATTGCACATTTCTGCACTGCATTCAATAGAATGTTTCTCTGGGCAAAGTTGACTGATGAGCACAGCTTTTTATTCATTTTTTTTTTCCTTGATTTGTTTTCCGTCAATCTTCATTTCCATACTGAGTACCTATGCTACCCACACCAGGAAGGCAGCTCCCACAGCTGGACCCTACCTATCGACCCATCAACTCATGAACCGGGGACCAACGGATTTACTTCCCTTCCGAATCATATTATGTTTCCGGATTGCTTATTCATTTTATATATTTTTGTTATTTTAATATTATTATACTTTTTCATCTATGTTGACTTTACCGAACTTTGGATTTCTCCATTAGAAATGAACTGTAGCATTAGGAATAAACTGTACACGCTAATCAAATACCATGAATATCAATTGCAAGAGTGGATCCTCTGCATGTTTTTTTGCAAACAATGTAATGACGGTTCTTGCTTTGGACTGTAGCGTATAAACAAGGTTCTTATAGAATAAATATTTTCGTACAAAACCTTTGTGAGATGATTTCCTAGCAGCAGTGCATTTGAAGAAATAAACTTTGTTCGAAAAATAGGCTAATATAAAAATAAAAAAATATATATATATAATAAAAAAAAACCCTGATTAATCCACCTACCGCTGACAAGTGCCTTTGGGAAAATTCACGTTTTATTATATGACAATAGAAACACACAGTAGCAAGAGGGTAGGGGAACTGGGGGTAAAATGATCACCCTAAGCAATTCCCCCGTTTTCTCTTTTATAAACTAATAACATATTTGTCTTACTGCGTAAAATTAAGCTTCCCTTCATATTTAAAATAGTGGACTATACTGCCAATACTCGCATAATTGTCCCATCTTTGCTTGATTTCCTATTCATATGGGACAGTTATGCTATTATGGGCAGTATAGCAATGTATCAAAAACAACAAGTTTTCAATATAATTCCTGTATTTCCACCAGCTCACAATACAAGGCTGATTTTTTATATGAGGGTAAAATGAACATGTATTGGGGGTAAAATGAACATACAGTGGGGGTAATATGAACAGATGCTGGGGGTAAAATGAACATGTAGTGGGGGCATAATGAACATACAGAGGTAGTTATCTTTCAACGATTACGTAAACTGTAAATCTTCAACATAGCTTTAGAAACAACATTGCTTACGTTTTCAAAATGAATACCGGGAAATGCCGAGTTCGCCAGTACTTTCCTCGAATAAATTAAACATCTTGTTTTAAAAATAGGCAAACATGATAAGGTATCCTCATAAAAGCTATTTATCATAAAAAAAATATGGTAAAATGGTTAAAAAAAAACGGTAATTAAGGTACAAAACCATTTATTCAATCAGTAATAATTCATGGAACAAATCAAAATAATGAATCTTATTCAACAATCAACAAATCAAAAGAGTTATGTATCAGTTACATATGCGACATCGAAAACCATCATCGTTGCTACATTTAGCATGAAACCAAATATATTATATTAACAATATGATCCACTCTTCCGCTTAGCTGGCGAACCAAATTTTTAGCGATGAAAGCACCTCTGTTGGCAAAAAGGCTACCAATGTATTTGTTTATCGTCACGAGGGATAAACCAAATGAAAATTTGTTTAATATTTCAAATGAATGTATTTCAGCATATTATTTTATTTGATGCCAAAAGTAACATGTCGGACAAATTTTAAAGTAATAAATATACACAATGTTATTAATAAAAATAATGTGACTCTTACTTTTGTAATAAGTGCTATATTCGCACCCCTCGATTGTAATTGAATGATTGTTGCTGGCCTTTTTCAACGCTAGATGGCGCGTGCGGGTCGCCATTGCAATATTTGGAAAATGCATGAATGGATCATATTGTTAATATGATATATTTGATGAAACCAATTCAAACAGGCGAGGCATTTCCTCCACCCATAACCATCACTTGAATCAGAAAAAGAATCACCACACAATTCGCATAAGGTATCTTCGCAACGTTCATCATTCTTTGGTAGTTTTCGCCCTTTCTTGATCGACTTGCTGGTTTTTGTTGGTTTTTGTCATCTATAGCCAGGTCTTGACGGTAGCTTTCGGTGGTTATCTCCACTGCCTTTTCCGATTTACGCTTTTGTTTTGTTACTCTAGGAATAGACATCTTCGGCAATGGTAAAATTTGTGACGGTGTGATGTTGAATGATGAGTTCGGAGCGGTTTCAGAAGCTGGATCAACTTGAGCGACAACAGAAGAATCTGGTCTACCAATTAAAGGCTCGTCTGTGCTATCGTGGTGTTCTGGTGGAACAACTGAATCAATGGTAAAAACTGGAAGTGTTACTTGCTGTACTGTGGATTCATCAACTACCATCGGACTTGTCACTAGCAGAAGCAGCCTTGAGAAAAGCGGCACCCATCAATTCGGAGACGTCACATGAAGTCCTCAGAAGCTCTCGCGTAGTAACTTTTAAATGATCCCATGAAAGCCACATCCAAGGGCTGCATTTGGTTACTGCAATGTGGCGGCAACACGAGAACTGTAACAAAATTAGCACGAGCTCTTTCAGCAAATGCCAGATTTTTGGAGTGGGAGCTGTGACCATCAATTATCAGGAGTGCAGGGTTTTCCTTCGTAGGGTTTACGTTTACCAGAAAGTGGTTAAACCAGTCGAGGAAGATTTCACTGGTCATGTATCCGGAAGGATTGCAGTTGAACTTCGTCCCATTCGGTGCTCCTTTTTTAAGCGCATCGTGCATGCCTACTCGGGGGAAAATAATGTAAGGCGACACATGTTGCCCTGACGCGGACATGCACATCATTATGGTGGTTAATACCAGTGATGCAAAATATCATGACACTCACGTGACACTCGTCTTCGCATCAACCGACTATCGCTTACAGATCGTTTTGTCGCGCAGTGAGAGTTAGATCCATGGCAAACAACAATCACCAGTAATGGTCGCTGCTCACAAGCGAATCGTTACACTCGCTGCTGATAATGAAAAGCACAACGAAAACAGTAAAGACTTCTGCAGTACGATCATGAGAAAAAGCGAAACGACTGAAGAAAATGAAAACAATGCCTTCGCATTCCAAGTTCGTCTCGGCAGGCCCGAGTGTGTGAGTTACAAACAAAGCAGGCAACATTAAACGGAAGCTGTTGGGCTCACTCACCAACACACTCACATAAGCAAGCAAAGCAGCCACTGCTTCAAAACGAGCACCGATGAGTGTCGTGATTGTCAGGAATGACCAGATCGGTGATGGATCACAACAGAAGACGAGATTCACCAATTGCTTTTTACTTCTTTCGTCAACTTGATGGATGGTCATGGAGAGAGCTTCGACGAGCACATTGATATGAATGTACAAAGCGTTACTACCATCAGCTGTTTGATGATGGTGATTGTGATAGGTCGCATCTCTGGTTAATACACCTCTCTAACCCGATGTTATGGACCCTACTTGCTTCTTGCCCTTCTTAGCATCAATTTTCATCTTTTTCGGAGGGACCTGTGTTTGTTACAATGCCATAAGTAAATATGAAATACCTATATTAAAAAAAAAAACTATCAAAATTACCGTGCTAATACCGGTCTCGTCAGCATTGACTATGCGTGACAGAGGAAACTGCTTGCTGTCCAATGTGTCACCAAGAATGCCGTAAAAAGCACCCACGGAAACTTTGTTAAAACCTCTTGCTCGAGCCGCAAATGTAGTTTCAGGTTTCCGAAAGGAAAGGGTTTGATTCCGCTTAAGAAACCCCTCTAGCCAGTTTCTACCTGCCATCTTTAGTTTGTGACTGAACGGATGAGGTAAGCCTTTCGTTGGGTGAATGGCAGGACGGCGTTGAATATGCCCCCAATAGCGCAGCTGGTGCACACGAACTCTCTGTGTAATTCTCTTCTTCCGTAGTAAAACGTGTATTGATCGACGTAACGCATCTGGTTCTTCGTGACGGCATAGTGTTGCCATCTCTCGCACGATCTGCCTTTCATAATTCCGAAGTGAGGTCCTACTGTGCTTTGTAAGCACAGCAGTTTGAGTGCCATAGAGCATTGCAGGCGCAAGGACGGTGTCATAGATCAATCTCCCCAACTCCCAGCTAGGAGTATGCTGCTTCAAGAAATCCATCACAACTCTAGATGTTTTAATGGTGTTACGGCACCGGGTTCTGGTAGTCAGCGGTCGGTCTAATTTAGGAGTTAAGTAGCAGCCCAAGTACTTCAATGTTTTTTGCACTTCATAATTCTTCCCCAAGATGTCCATCCGATCCTGTGTCGAACCGGTGGGATTTCGCACAAGTAGCTGGCACTTGTCTTCATTAATATTTAGCCCAACAGTAGCTAAATATTGTTTTATTGAGGCAACGATGAGCTCTAGGTGTTCCGGGTTTTCAACAATTATTATTAAATCGTCGGCGTATGCCAGGACGATTGGTAAGGTAATAGAGCCACTTTGATTGAGGCAGAATATTCCACAATCTTCTTCCACAGTTTCTAAAACCGCCTCCATGATCAAATTGAACACAAAAGGGCTCAGAGGGCACCCCTGCTTAAGGGGATACTCTAAAGAATCCTTAGCGTGAAACTTTAAAAGCACAAATGCCAGCTTCCACAAAACATACAAATTTGAAATTGCTACTCCTTGTTTGCTGTGCTACTACAAACAGAGAGTAGCAATTTCAAATTTGTATGTTTTGTGGAAGCTGACATTTGTGCCTTTGAAGTTTCACGCTAAGGCTTCCTTAGAGTATCACCTTAATGCCAATGTGACGAGGAGTAGGATGCGAAAGCTCCCCTTGCCAGAGTGTCTGTTCCACATCGCCTCGTAAACATTCTACAACTCGATTGATCACGCCATGCGGTACTCCTTTCCCTGTACATTTATAATTTAAGAAAATGAGAGTGATTAATTAAAAAGAGCTTCTCTTGATGTGTGGTTTACCTTTAAGTATAGCTGGTAGGCATTTGAGGTTAACCATGTCAAACGCTTTTTCGATGTCTAACGACATAACAGCCACTGGAACGCCACCATTCCATCGCTCTTGGAGTATACGCTGAACCACAAAAAGATGATCGAAGGTTGATCGCTCGGACAAAAATGCAGCTTGATGATGTCCTATATTGCCCACATATCTTTGAAGCGTTTCGAGAACCCACATCGCATATAGTTTATAACCAGAACTAGATAAGCAAATCCGGCGATATTGTGATGTCGACACGGGTTAGGAACTTTTGGTATTGGAATAATGAGATTATTCTTCCAAGAATTCGGAAGATTATTTTCGGTCCACACAGCTTCTAACAAATCCTTCAACTCTAGCAAAATAGCGGAATTTGCATACTTCAGGTACTCTGTGGGTATGCGATCTTGGCCACTAGCCTTCCCATTTGTCATCATACTCAGGAGTCGACGTATATTTCCAAGCGTAGGGCTCGCTGGTAATGAGCGACCGTCAGTTTCAGGAATCTGCTCGGGCAATCCGTCTGCATGATCTTCACGTACTGCATTCCAGCTGGTAATCGGGATTGTTGAGAAGCGCACTATACTCTTTCGTTTGCGGTGTTTTTTGAGGTACTTATGAGTACGGTTGATACGGGCTCCGTAAGGATACCTGTGAAGGTT